AAACTTTTAATAAACTCGCAAATGCATTCATATAATAAATCTAGTTTTATAAATTCAACATTATCGCAGAATTATTTAGGGTCACTCCATTATTTGTAAAAGAGGAAGTGGCACACTGGGAAGAACCTGTTCCAACAGTCTCAACGTTAAATGAAAGGAATTTTATACATAAGTTATGTATGTTAAAAAATATCTTTCTCTGTTGTAAAAATTCCGTCGTTATAGTTATGATTCACAATTGATAATATTCTGGAGCAATAATGGTTTGGCCCTTTATTTATAATGAAATATGTACTCGTACCGACCTCTTTTAAAAGCTTTGCCACAAAATTTTGCAATTTGCAATTTCAATATTTCCAACTCAATCAAATTGGTCATCCACGCTCCGACCTCGGCCACATCCCTACTTGCCACTCAGCGTGCACTTGTATCGTTCCCCCAATTTGTCTGCAATGAATATATTATAATTAGGATATGTATAAATACATTTAAAATATGCAAATTCAACTATACCTTTGTATTTTCAACATAACACAGGATTCTACATTGCGTAGTAATCTTTCCTTCAAACAGTTTGCAATAATTGATATGTCACATTTGACATTACAACCTGAGGCGAACTCAAATTTTGACATTACACCTATCAAATTCGCCATTAACACCACCTAGTATAAATTCGCCTTGGTAAAACCGTTCTCTCAATTCGTCGGGCTTTATTTTTTTTTTTTAAGTTTGCCTACATTTTAAAATTATCAGGCCAAATCTTAATACTACCGGATAGTTTGTTCTCGGGGAATTTGTTTCTCCCGAGAAAAAAATTGGGTGGGGTTTAATAGCGCTCACAATTATTTCGGGCTATTCCGTCTAAAGGGGTGGCCCGATCCAAAAAAAAATTCCACACACTTTGTAGTCAAGGGTCTACGCATTATTTTAACACTCACTTTGTAAATTTTGGTCAATTTATTTAAAAATTGGGTTTGAAATATGCCCTTTTTTGTAAAATGCGGAAATTAGCGTACATTTATCACTTCTATTCTCCTTAAAGCAGCCACTTCACCAATACATTTATGTATTCCACTTCGCTCTACACTTTACTCGATTAGTTATAACTTGCTTTACGACTTTAATATTAACCAATTAATCAGAATTCATTAAATAAAAACACCTTCAAAATCACGCGTCTGACTTTGGTTGCATATGCAAATTAAATGGCGGAGTTCAGCTGTCAAACTCCAAAATATGCAAAAGAATGAGAGACAAAAGAAGATAGGATATAACCCAATAAGCATTAAAAATATACATAGGTGTTCTCTGCAAAAGGTGTTCAGCTCCTTTTCTTCGCAAAACAGAAAGGAGAATTCTACTGCCTGAGGGTTATAATCCCTAAGTGCGGTCGAAGGCCACCTACGCAGAAAGGTGTTCTCTGCAAAAGGTGTCCAGCCCCCCTTCTTTGGCAACACAGAAAGGAGAATTCTACTGCCTGAGGGTTATAATCCCTAATTGTTTTGTTAAAAGGAAAACAGAGATTTGTTAAAAAGAAATTTTTTTTTATAAAAACTGGTGTTTTCTATTTTTAATTAATTTTTTTATTCTTTAGTCAAAATCGTCCGATATCTAATGTTCTTTTTTTAAAAAATCCCACGGTTTCTGTTAGTTGGGTCATATTCCACTTCAAACTGCTCAGTTTGCC